AATCATTGTGCCTCGATAGGTAACCATTATGTGTTTTTTTTAAATTATTTGAGTCATTTTTTAATCAATATATAATTTATTTTAAGATCGAATTCATATTAAATTAAATATGTTAAAATTATATTCGAACCACGTTAGCATCTTTAGAAGCACTCCTATTAAGTTTTATTCTCATAGTATGTTTTTTAATATAACGTATAAAATAATTCATACGACAAATACACATATATTTATAACTTGGTCTTAATATATTTTAAATATTTAATGTGATATTATGTAAAATTTAGGGACTAATCTAGAACTTAACCATAGTTGTGGTATTGGTGCAAATAAACTTTTTGTCTAAAATATAAATGCCACCCGTAGCAGCTACGTACAAATACAATTAGATGACGATTGGTCATTTTTACCGGGGTGTCCCAAGCGCTAAGAAGACAATCCCAAAGGGAGTATCCACCAAATAATAAATAATACATAAAAAAATAAAAAAAAAATTATTAGTTTCTTAAAAAAAGGTAATAGGTTATTTTGCGTTTTTTTCTGTTCAAATTAATAAAGTTAGATTTTTGAAATATGGTCTAATTTATAAATTTTGTTTTGTTTGTATGGAGACTATGGATCAAAAAATTCATCCTTACAGATGTTTACGAAAAATTATAAAATTAGAGATAGAAAATATGATGGTTAAAGAGTTTAGAAGAAATTTTGTATCAGAGATACTTTTAATTTTCCTTTTTTTAATAGTATGAAATAGTTACAAGATAATATTGTTCAGAATCTTTTAGTTATGGACAATACATTTATATCTTATAGATATAACTGTTTGAACTCGAAACTTTAAAGAAACAACTCTTTTTTGTCATTGAAATCACTGGAAAGATTTTGAAAAATTAGATTTTAGAATATATATACCATGAGTTATAATTTAGAAAGTAGTATTCAGTTTTTAATATGGGCATGGGTAACAACAGAACCGAGGATCTAATACCATGTTAAGCATCCAACAAGTAATACGGAATACTTTAATCGATGTGGGATAACAACGGTTTAACGAAAGGAAGTGGGATTCGGCTGTTCTCATTTATTCCTAATTGTGAGTATTCGAACGAGATTAATAGCGCTTGCCTTGATTTCCTTACGTCCGAGCTGCTACTTTTGGGCAGAATCGATGGCTGCTGCAGCAAGATTAGCATGCTTCGTCGCCAGTTCTTTCGTCCTTGTATTCCCTTGCTCTTCCACAGGTACTCAAGTGTCCAATCAATACCAAAACTTCCACTGGTTTGATTTGAAGTAGCATTGAGCTGCGAATTTGAACTTACCGTATTATATTGGCAGAGTTGTCGAAACCCTGCTCGATCACGGCTTTGAACGAGGAAACTCTTACATGGCATATATTATAGGAGCAGTTACGATTCCCTGCGAAGATCGGATCAAGTTCGTCAACATTTGTACTCGAAAAAGGGTTTCAAAAAAAATGGAATCAACAGAACATGTAGTTGTTCGAATATATGTCGCATAGAGTAGATGCAGGGCCAAAGAGATATAGCACGATGTTGTTAGACAAATTACCTGTCGTATGTCCGATAACAAACCCTTTCCTAATGAAGCTGATGTGCCTGTGAAATCGAGAATATCGTCTATGAGCTGATATGCCAATCCCTGGGAAACGGATAAAGAGAATCAGGAAATGGCCAAAGAAATATGAACTGTAAAACACAAACTGAACGTATATTCGATACACGTATGTACTGGAACACGGATCGTAAAATCGAGAGGATGGTGTTTAAGAAGTTTACAAACCAAATTCTTGCCGTATTCAAAAGTCAACATTGCAACTTCGGGTGCTTGATTGGATAAAAGGGCCATGGCCTTGCAGCTGTTGGAGACCAATGATGCAGTCTTGTGGTATGTCTTTTGCATATATACTCCATGCTGCAATTAAAAAGTTTTTTTTCCAATATCTTTCAGTTAGACACGAGAATCGGATAAAATACTTCAGAAAAAAAAATGAAGAGTCGGTCCAACTCGGCATCTTACCTGCAGCGCTGCTCGACGTTGCAGCCATTTGCATGGTTTCACCGGTAACAAGATTCTCGACTGCAGTAACTAGTAATGATACAATCTGCAGTGCTAATAATGAGTTTGAAATGGGAAAGTGTAGGATATGGGTATGATTCTGGCTTGGGTACGCTCGATTTTTCGAGCTTTCTTCATTCGGACAATTGTACCTACATACCTCGTTTTCAAGGAAGCAAGGGCCCTTAGAGCTCGAAAAAAGCAGAAAATCCCCTGCTAACACTGCTAACTGCATCATATAGATTGATAGCCAGGGAGTACTAAAAATTATGAATGTTTTTCGATTAACATAAGATGTATGTATTTGGTTACCTTATTTCCGACCACAAAATTTAACGAACTGACGCCTCGTCTCGTTTTCACATCATCCAAGATGTCATCATGAATTAGACTAGCCACCTGAATTCACAAAGATTATTAGATCAGTCTAACAATGGATACAGAAATGTTTCTCCACATGAGAACTGTTTGATGCAAAGATTATGGACTGTGCCTGAAATGAGTATTGTTTGCTTTGGAGACGAAGAACTAACAGGATCATCTCGGTTATTTCAGCAACAAGTTGCTGTTTCCGACACAGTTCAACTCTAGATGTATCCGATGCAACTAAAAGATGATTCGGGTCTATATATCCATTGATTTGGCCATCAACAACAACCTGCAAAAAAGTATGAAAATCACCTTGAAGTACACCTGTTTGATCCTCTAAGAACCGAGTACTGGTAACCAACACACTCATTTAAGTGCAAGTAACATAGGCGGGAACATCGAATGCACAACATCCCTCGGTTTCTTTTGGTTGGAGATTGAACAAAGCTATTTAGTAGTGTTTAGTTACCGGTTTATGCATGTGAAATGTACTCATGAGCATCAAAGGAACATAAAACATAAAACATTTAGTAATGTTCTTATTACCATGGAACATGTTCTCTTCCCTTCCACTCCATGTTCGAAGAAATATCGAGCAGCCGAGGCAAGCTCAGGGACCTAAATGACATAGAAATTCATGTTTCAATATCATCATCATTGTAATCAAACTTATCTAAAACATCTAATTTATTGAGATCTGAGAAGGGTCACTGTTCGGTAAATCTGAATGCTTCTTTTGACTGACTTATGCATCGGAAATTCGATTCCGGCAACCTTCTGAGCATAAAACTTTTACTAAACAGCCAAAAAACAAGACATGGCAATGAAATACCTCGGAAACTGCAGATGAACGCAACCTGTTTGAAACAAGTGAGATTTCATCAGCAACAAGGGAAAATGGATCCACTTTTTCCTGGAAAAAGAATCGACTTTCAGCTTCAGATTATGATTGCTGAATCCAAATTTACCAATATTTGAAACCCAGAATCTGTCTTTTTTCTCGTTAAAAAAAATGGAAGAACAAAGCTTTTTTGAATGTACCTTCGGATTAGAATCAATGGAAGAGTGAGAATTAGCTGTAAAAACAAGAGATTGGCAGTGTTGAGGACAATGAAACAAAGGTTTTCTGGGAATCCCAGAAATCCTGGAAAACACCCGAGAAAATAGTCTTCATTTTCCTCATACTGCAATATTAAAAACTTTTGCAAAAACATAGGATGAAGCAAATCATGTCATGTTTTCAATCTGTGTCGGATTAACTGATTGCCATTTTCAGTCAAAGGAACAAAACAGTGAGTGGACATTTTAGAGAAATAGGGCTAAAAAAGGGTAAACTAACTGAATGGTTACTTTTGTTTCAGTTTGGTCACTTCTAATCACAAATTTTGAAAATGTTATGTTACAATCACTTATATTATCGATTAATTAAACTTTAATCAATTATTTATCGATTTTTATTATATTTGATCATCGAGCCATTAACTCTTAATCTTAACCTTCTCTCAACAACTCTTTAAACATTTATATATGTATATTGAACATAAATACTTTAAAAACGTTATTTAACTCATCAACTTAATAAAAATAATTGGGTGATAGTCAAAAGTAAAACATAAAAAAATAATTGAAGAAGATATAATTTAAATGCCATGCGTTATTTTAATATATCATGTGATGATGGAGATTGATGAGTGAAAAATTAAGTAAATCGATAGGATTGATATTAATAATTTACGTCATGATTTAATCTTAACTCACATCTCATGTTATAAAATGATATATAATTAAAATTAGGGTAAAGTATACAAAATAGTCCCTGATTTTAAGGGCACTTGTATTTTGGTCACCTAACTTTTAAAACTTGCAATATAGTCATTGAACTTTTAATTCATTTTCAAAAAATCCCTGCCGTTTCCTCTGTTAATCTTATCTGACGTGGCACATTACCTCCCATCTCTTCTTTCTCTTTCTTCTTCTTCTTCAAGAAGAAAGAGAAGTAACGTGTGAGAAGGAGAAGGAGAAGAAGAAGAAAGAAGGAAGGAAGAAGAAAAAGTTGGAAGGAAGGAAAGAAGGAAGAAGAAGATGGGTTGACGGAGTTAACGTGCCACGTCAGACAAAACTAGCGGAGGTAACGTCAGGGATTATACTGGAAACGAACTAAAAGTTCAGTGACTGTGTTGCAAGTTTTAAAAGTTGGATGGCCAAAATGCAAGTGCACTAAAAGTCAAGGACTATTTATATACCTTGCCCTTAAAATTAATGTAACGATTAATAATTAGGAGGTAATTGTTAATAAGTTATCATAGACACAATCCTTAGTAAACATTCTTTTAACATTAAAATTATACTATTATAAAGAAATCAATGCATTTTTTCCATTTAAAAGTTTTAAAAATAAACTAATTCCTTCTTTAAAAAGCTGTCTTGGTTGTTTTAATCAGTTAAACCAATTTTGGCCAGTTCGATTGTTACCTTATTCTTGGTTCCACTAAAGAAAATGAATTAACTGATAACCAATTTTTTAATAAAAATTTTAACCGTAAACGATCTAACATTTAATTATCCGACTGATTAATCGAACAAAATTTTGATTTGATCGTTAAATCGAATAAAATTAAACATGAACACTCCTAATCAGGATGGAACACGGTACGAACGACGTAACGTAACAAACACAGGTAATACATTTAAAACATGAATAATCATATTTGCATAATTGATTTATCACCTAGAGAGATTTGCTGATAATGTTTCTTTACTTGAACTATTATATACAGTATAACCTACCCTCGAAGCCACTCGGTTTTTCTCTTCCTATCGGTCCGAACTAGTTCCGAAAGGGAATAATAAACGTTTCTCCGAATTATGATAAAATCATTCACCGGTTTGAAAGTTCAAACGTAAAATCAATCTCACCAGAATCACCCCGATAGAGTTTTCATCCAAGGCAAATAACCGCGCCTCCGTAAGGCCTGCAACAGCAAGATTATGCCTCTTGAACTTTACCTTCGATATTTTAGATGGAGTAGCGTGAAGAAGATGGCGAGGATAAGAGAAGAACTACCGACAAGGAAGCAAGCATGGCCGAGGAAGTCATTCTTTCCCCCCAACCAGCTTGATGTTGAAAGGACAAGCTTCTTTTACCGCCAAAACTGTAAGTGTTGTAGTTGTTCATAGATTGACTACTATGACATCATCGACATCCAGGTCCTCTCGATTCTACCGTACAATTTCCGGAAGCTAGGGAGAGCAGATGTACGCATCCATACAATAAGATCCTCTGGTCGCTTAGCTAATTATTTTAATGCATCCATTTTTACCGAAGCCCAAAAAAGAATAACAAAGAAAAGTGGTTATTGCAGGATATGTCATTTGTCATTTCGAAAACAGGTGTTTTGAGTAAGTAATGCTAATAAAAGAATCGGAAAGAACATGGTAGGAAGTCTCGATGCCGAGCTAATACTTACAGGAATTTCTGGATTCAGTTTCCCACCACCGATCAAGGTTCCATTTTGGAAATTGAAAGGATGAATGCTTTTTCCAAATTTGTGATCCCGACACTCTTCCAGGCAATGTTCTTCCTGTTAACTTTAAGTTCTGCTCTCTCGCGAATAAATGTAAATGAATCATTAAATAACTCCATGCTATCAATCCACAAGGAACAATGGGTTGACCGTTGTTCAACTCAACAGGTTGACAGGAACTTCTGTCATGATACTTCGGACCATGCAAGAGTTGTTTATCGTTTCTGCTTTTGACATACCTGGAAAATATATAAAACAAAGGAAATGCAAATCGAAGAAACAACGGAGATTAAACAAAACTTCAGACTAATTGTAAATAACAAATATAACTAAACTACTACTGCCTAAAGAGCGCAGCATGCCTAAACAATTAGTAGTTCTGGACAATCTAGCATCAATGATCAAGCTAAAGCATTAAATGGTTAAGCGAAGAGTCTGCACTTCGATGGTTCTAATAATAATTATCGAGCTGGTAGTAAATGTAAATTGGAGCTTTCATGTACTTGAGAACCTACAAAGCATGGTATAGATGCAAAATAAACACACATGAAAGGAAAAAGACACATTTCACAGTGAATCAACGTGTTCAACACCTTCCTTGAACAAAGAAGTGTTACCAAAAACCCGTCACAAGCAGAATTTTTAAGACCCGGGGAAAGGTACTCTACTAAGAACAATGCACCTACATTTGAAGGAATACCAACCACAAAAAGATGCATAGATGACCACAAGTCAAAGCTTTGGATACTTCACAAAAAAATTGAAGGGGGGAAACAGCATTTTAAACTTTCTCAAATGTAAATTTAATTCATCGAAAAAGAAGTTAATTTGATTTCACCAATACTTAAAGTTTGATAGGAACAGTAAAGCAACTTGTGATACATTAGTTCGGAAGTCTTACTTCCAATTTGAATAGACTAAACTTTCACAGATAACCAGAGTTTTAACTTGGTAAATTTCAAAGCCTAAGAATAAGTAATAGTCCAGAACATAGTCACATGGATCGCGGTACGCTCGGTACGGGAAGTGGAACGGGATCGCAATTCGCTAGGTCCCTAAAATTCGGTACGGGGGGGGTAGACTTCTTTCGGATCACTCCGGAACGCGATTTCGAAGGTATAAGGGTGTGTGTATATTGCCACCTAATGTATAAAGATAACTAAAATAGAACATGCAAAACTTGAAGGTCAAATGCCTGAAACAACTAAATAAATAAAAAATTGGGATCGAAATGAAATGCATGTAAAACTTAAGAACCATTGGAAAGTTAAAGAACCTCCGAGCAAGGACCAAAACACTTGAAACTAAAGGGAGCCTTTACGTGATTAAACCCCTATTAGAATAGGTTCTAAAAGATGTATCCATAGTAATATAAATCACTTTTTGGGTTTCAGAAACCATAAGCCTTCATTTGTTCAACAAACCAGAAAAGAACTTGGGAGTTCTCTGCATTCTCTATCGACGGAGAGAGCACCGCCACTCAACGGCGTGATCCACGATGGCCGGAACTTGACATAAACGGCCCAAAACCCTCTCAACCTCCTAAACTTGGATCTACAACCCTTTTCCCCAAAAACCAAGAAAAAAAACTTTGATCTAAGAATTACCTCTCGACCCCCTTTTGAATACGGTGACCTTCGAGTTTTCTGACGCCTAAAGCAGATAAGCTTTCATCTTTCTCTTGTCCTTTCTCTTTCTTTTCTCTTGTATTTTTTTATTTTTGCTTGCTAAATAATGGTTGATGGGTGAATTTCGTTTGCGGTTTTTTCTTTTCCTTTCTTTCAAAATAAACACACACACTTAATACCTTCGAAATCTAAAAAAAGACGATGAATAGCTCCTTCCATAGTCAATTTTGGATCGTCGTACCGAATCGTGATTTTGAAGCGACTGGAACGCGTTTGTACCGCGTTTTGGATCGCAGCGTACGGTACGTAGATCGTGGGCTGTTGAGCGATTTCTGTGACTATGGTCCAGAAAACTCAGTTGCAGTTTTACACTGCAAAATGGTTGAAAATATAGCTTGGCCTACAGTGAAATGCAAGACACTTTCCGTATCAAATCCCAGACAGTTAGGGGAATGCACAGAAATGACTATGCCAACTTAAGGGTTACTTACTTGAAAAGGTAGTAAGATTGCCCCCTGAAAATATATCAATACAGAAAGGAAGTATCACCTTCATGAGACGAGAACAATTCTTGGGAATTGAGTCACTTGGATATGAAATTTTATCAATTCTAGATGGCTCAGGTACACATTCAATATCATATCGGTCCACGATTTCAACAACCTACCAATCAAATAAAAATAGTTCACAGGTATGTTCTCAATATAACAACAGATGCCAAGAAAAGTAGTATTATAATAACTAGACATGAGATAACAATAATCAAAGAATGGATAATTACCTATGGGAAGGTCGCAGAGTAACCAGGCCAACAGGAATGAAAATTAAACTCATAAACAAAATATCGTAATAACCTGTAGAAATGAAATGGGCGCTCATCAATAAATTAGATAATAATCAGCACTAAAGACAGCCACCACCGCAAAGTGCAAGTTAACTATTAGTCAGATAAATGAAAAGTTCGAGTTGTCATGCTCTCACCCATCCTGGTGTTAAGACAGGTTTGCAAGCTGGAAGACTTTGCTGAGTAAACAGATAAAATGCTGCAAAACACATAACAAGCAAAATGTTTATGAGGTATATTTGATTGCTCAGCAGACTAAACAACAAGTCCAACTAATCCTGAAAAACAAAATTGGAGATGACTGCAGACAGTTTTCCTACCACTTCATAAATATAGTACTTCAGATATGAAAGCCAAAGTTGCAAAAAGGCAGGCCCGGACTCGGTTTGAGTATCTATGCAATTTCATGTATGTCTAAGTATCATCCAGCCTTCTTCTGTTAGAAGTTATTCGAACTTAACATAACTATCCATTCATTTAAATTTTCAATGTGTTCTATGAAATGGAGAAAAAATTCAAACAATGCACCATCATTCCACTGACTATTCTCACTGCTGCAACTTCCCAAGTACAAAAGATTTGACGACAAATGCAATAACGGGCATTAACACTTTCCTAAGTACACACTGGAAGAAAAATGCAAGCAATGAAGGTGGTGGACACATATAAAGAACAAAATGACTCGTATTTTGTATCATTTATGTTTGTCTATATGTCTTCACATGCAGATGGAGCGTGAGAACATGCACAAACGCTAGGGAAGCAGGCATATCCCTTCCTTTGTCGTCTTAGGTGGTATGTGTGAGGATCTCTTAGAGTGCCTGTTTGAGAGTGTTGTGCATGTATCTAAATAAAACCAAACCAACAAAGATATGAATAAAAAGCTTCAAGAGTCCAAAAATTAAAAACAAAAGATTCAGGGAAAAAAAAACCTGTTTCCCTGGTTCTGTGTCTTTCTCTATTTGGATCGGTCATTTCTGAAACTCAGCTTTGTTCTACCACTCCCATCAAAATATAGCAATCCCTTAACGCAGCCCCTGAGTTTTCTGGATAACAACACGCCAATCAAATCAGTAAAGCAGAAACCTCCACACAAGCCACGCCAGAAACAAAACCTCATTTCGGTGCATGCAATTTTACTTTTAAAAAATCGGTATGAAACCTGTACTATAATAGAACACACAATTCATCTACATTCTACATTTCATCGTCTTCATCGCTCATTCAACATTTCTCTGGACACAGCATTTTACAGTGTTGATTTCCACTCCATTCCCTCTCAGTTCCTGGGTTGCTTCCCTTAGGTTACAATTTACAAATTCATAGAGTTATAGCTCCAATTAAACTCAAAACAGAGCTCAATTTATCCAGCTTCAATTTTACGATATCTTATTTTTTGCAATTTTAAAGCAGGCAAACGTAGCATAAAGTTACGAATCACAATCTACGATAATTTCATTAATCCTGATTCTAAAACAGTAATAAAAAAACTCCTTTCTGAAAACCAAGTAATAAACGGTCCAGAACATTAAGTTTCGCATTTCTTTTCTCTCACATTCACGGAAATTTCTACAGCTCAGATCAATTTTTTTAAAAAAAAAAAAAGAAAAGAAAAAAATCGAAAACGAGAAGCGAAGATCGAGAGGTTTACCTGATGTGATGAGAGATATGAAAACGAGAGACGCGTTAGGATTTCAATTTCATTTTTATTCGATAATTTAACCGAAAGTGAAAGATTGATTTGGATGAGTTAATTAGAATCTTTCGAATCTATCTGTCTGTGTTTTCAATTTCTTCAAGAGGTAAAGGGAATGAAAGGGAAGATGACGAGTGACGACGAAGTCAAGCAGCGGAAAATTAAATAAATAAATTTTCATTTTACTTGGATTTTGATTAAATCTTATTTAATATTTTTTGTTATTTATACTTTTTTCTATTTAATAATATTTTAATTTAATTCTTGAATCTTTTGTATGGAATTATCAAATCTGGAGAATGGTCAAATTGTTTTACATCAAAAGAATAAAGACATTAAGTATTAAAATTTAAAATATAAAAAAATTAAAATCTTATTTAATTAAAATTTAAATTAAAAATGACACAATTACTCAACCAAAAAAAAATTATAGTGGTCAAAACCCTCATAATCCTTTAATGGCTCCGTCCATGCACATTAATCCTTGAATTTGAATTTTTAACTCATTTTAATATCAGATATAACACATTACGAGTGTAGCACTTCACATAATCTCATTATGTTGTATCATCAAAGAGATTAAAATAAAAATTATATCAAATTTACAGATTAATATTAACCGAAACAAAGTTTAGGAGTAAGTTGAAAAAAGTTATAAAAGACTAAAAATAATTACCTTTTGTAAAAAAGATGGTTGAATACTTTATCTGCCTCATTTAATAAATAAAAATATGTGATTAAAATGATGTCTTAAGGTTGGAAGGTTATGAAACTTACAATTTGGCTCATCTTTTTCCAACAAAATTCTCTCAGTTTTCTCTTTAACCAAACAATCAAAATCATGATTTCATAAAATCACATATGATTTCAACTTTCACTTCTTAAAATTCCTTGAAATCTCATCATCTTTTCCGACTGCTTTTCTCAACTGACCTTTCAAGAGAGATCACAAATCGTGGCTCTCGAAGATTGTTGAGAATTAGACGAGGCAGGAGTTTCTACAGACAAAGATAAAAAGAAAAGATGCTTCCTATTAAGCAATCAACAATTGAAAATCGGTGCATATCATTAATGATATGGGAATTCGATATACTTAATTCATACCCCTCTTTAGAAATGATATCTAATACATTTAAAACTCGAATCTCAATATCTGCGACCGCAACCTTTGCCGATCCTAAACTACGACGAAACAAGCATTTGAGAACATTCGGAAGTTAGAATGACATCAATAACCCACCAAGGGGCTTTATCTGATCAGTTCATGCTTCTAACTGTGAAAATAAAGATATTCAAGAAACTATTGACAGCAATCTTAGTGAAACAATGCAGGGCTGGATCAATGGATGAGGACTTCAATCACAAAGTGGTCAAACAAATGTTTGTCTACGTTCAACTACACCGCACCAGAACCCTTTCATCATCTAACACGGTTGCTCAAAGTGGCACCCTTCGTTTTATCATCAATTCATAACTGTATTCGTGTTAGAACTAATACAGTGGTAAACCCAACAGAACAACTACATATGAGTTCCAACTTCTATTGTCTATGCATGAAATCAAGCAAAGAATCCATGAAACTTTGACGAAACTACTGTAAATTATCGAAGAAGAAACATTAAAAGCCAAGTGTAAACTACATTTATTGATGAAAATCACGATATATAACATAAAGCACAACATGGTGATATCTACAATATTCACATATAGAGGGATTGTACACACAAAAAAATGTGAAGGACTACAAGCTCAAAGCTCTTACACCATCAAATTAGTTGCAGGTGTCCACTGTTGACACGCAGCCGAGACAAAAAAAAAACAGCAGGTGCATTTGGCGATCGGTTAAAATGCTTGCACCACATATCAACAAGCATGGATTTGTTTTATCGGTGATCCAAAGCAAGGTTTAGCTTTAGGAAACTGCTGAAGATTAAGCTACAATATGTAACAAATCGTCTCATCATCGGCTCTCCAAAGCATGCTATCACTTCTTCTCTTGACCATTGGGACTGACTGATTTCCCTGGAAAGCGCAAAATGAACTTTAAATACAGAAAAGATGCATAGATGAAGGGTTAAAACTTAAAAGCAAGCAGAATGGAGGCAAGTTATGCTATCTATGCTGCTCAGACTCAGGTGTGAGTATCGAAAACAGAATCGTTTTTCTTCAAGATTTCAATATATTTGGAGAGTTTTAGATAATCATATCCCGGTACTGTATCCAGATATAAGTCGGATAGGGGTTTCGGATCATGCATGATGTTTACTCAAATGAAAATTGAAATCCAAACCCCACATTCACCGCCAAATACACTCATGTTTGCTTTCTCTCTAATTTCATAAAGAAATTTACAAAACAAGGTATTTTCACTGATACATGCATCACCAAAAGATATCAAAACATATTTATATAACTTAGACCATGTAATTAAATATGATCTATAACTTAAGTGAATGCAACTTGTCGTAACCGTCTTTCGGTTTGGGTCCCGAAATGGGCTTCGACTTAGAAAATTGTGGATTGGAGTCGCCACCGATCATTTATTTAAAAATAAAGGGTTGATCGGATACCCTATTTCTTACCTGATCTGCGTCTTACCATAGATGTGTCGGATTCGGGAGTCGATTACAGTCAAGGAAGGGCTAGCACCCTTGAACTGCCCTTTCGGTACTGTGTAATTTACAGTTGTCTTTAATTAGAAAATGAAAGTTAAATTAAAAGGTAAAATATTAATCCAAATGCTTACCACTGATTGTTTGAAGTTCTCTCAAAAATCCAAGGAAAGGGTTAGGTAATGAAAGTAATGAAATAGAAAAAACAATGTATACAAAAAAGAAAGAATGAAATATGACTAATATAAAATAAAATATGCAAAGGAAAAAACGAAATACAAATAAAGAAAGAAGAAAATATAACAAAATATAAATGGATAAAAAATACAACATAATAAAATAAAATATAAAGCAATGAAAATGAAAAAAAAGAAAAAAAATATGCGTAATATACATATAATAAAAAGAACAATTATAATAGTAAAAATAGTAATGAAATAATAACGATGAAAAATAAATAACATATATATATATATGTAGAATATAAAAAAAATACATAAAGATATAGAAATAAAGAGTAAAAAAGAGTAATACATATACGTATATAATAAAAAAATAATATAATAGCATAAATAAATAAATAATAATAATAGTAAAAAGTAAAAGGGGAAATAAATAAAATAAAAATGGAATAAATAATTAATGAATGAAACAAGAAATATATATATGTTAAAGTATAAAAAGGAAAAATATCAATAATAGGTAAAATGATATATATATATATATTATATGTAATACAAAAAAATGTTAATAGAAATATAATTATAAGATAAAATGAGTAAGATTGATAAATAATAAAAAATACATATATAACGTATAAAATTATAAGATGTAGTAGCTAGAAAAACAGTTAATTAAAATAATATATATGTATTAATACTAAGTATATAAATGAAATATATATAGAAAATACGTATATATATATAGAATTACATGATATGGAAAAAATAAAAAAAGGTTAGTATAAGTATTAAATTGAATCAAAAACAAGTTAAGCGGCTAAATTGAAAGAAAATCAGAATTAGAGACCAATTCAAAAGCCAATTCGGGGTCAAAATAACTCTTTAAAAGCTGCGAGGGACCAAAAGGGTAGTTTACCCCATTTTCTTTAAAACACGCAGGTTCTGGGGCGTATATGTGTCAAAATCTGGGCTTAAAAAATTTTATTTCTTTCAAATGAATGCCTCTCCTCTTTTTCATTCATTTCTCTGTTCTGTGTTCATCCAAGGATGAACGGTCGCCTGGGTTCTTGATGAACCCAGAATCCGGCCATCGCAGCGCCGCCTCGTCGTCGTCGTCGATCGACGTCGGCCTCCAGTCATCAGCGGCAAAACACAAAAGGGAGGCTTTTTCCAAATGCTTTCGACCCCCCCGGTTTCAAAAATAAACATTGTTTTTGCAAAATGGCCTCAGAGGAGACTAGATCTGGGTTTTAAAACCCCGAACCTTCCTCTAGAGTTCATCGGCCGTGCCTCCTTGAAGGTGTTTCTTTGGTTTCAAATGAAATGAAAACATCAAGCATGCAACGAAAGCCAACTAAAAACGAAGGTAAAAAAAAAAAAATACCTTTCTCTTTTATTTATCGTTTCAACGAGTACAAGTACTTTAGCCTTTTGGTCGATTTGTTTGCTTGTATTCTTGTGCCTAATCCCCTCCGTCCCCCTTTACAACCATTTATGTGTTCTATTTATAGTACAAAAATACCTTAAGTTTAGCCTATTTGATTCCGAGTGAAACTCGGTTTCTTATTGTTGACTAACACACGGCGTTGTTTTGCGTTTCACGTATTGGTGACGAGCGAAACGACCGGCGGAGTCTTCGGTACGGAAGAGTCTGTAGTGGAAACGGCACTAGAACGAGGAAGGGGCATGCGGCGCTAAAGTTCCTGGAAACCCTAGGTTTGGCTTGAGAGCTGATATGCACGTGGGTTTGGGCCTGGTGCTGACTTGGGCCACTGTTTGTTCCTGTAAACGGGTTGGGTGACCTGTACAAAATGTAAATAATAAAATTAAATAATGTATATGTTTATAATATATATATATATATATATATATATATATATATAACACATAAAAGGATGAAATGGGGGGTGTCTACACAACTCATGAACTCACAGCGATACAAGCGCCAACAACTTAAAACTATTAACTAACATAGAATGATAGAATAAATTCATTGGCATCTTGTATGTCTAGCATTTAAGACTTTTTACCTTTGCATAAGCGGACGTGAATATCAAAACGAATTCATCTCCAAGCAATAAGTCCTTCCCTTGACCAGCATCTTGGTGGCAGTCCTATAAGGCTCTTCGAAAGCATTCAATAACCAAGAAACATCTGAGACCTGGCTTTTTGAAGCAGATAGTTCACTAGGCCTAATAGCAACCAGAGTAGCACCTTTCAAAACAACGCCATCGTGCAACTCCAAGTAAGGAGCATACCAAAGCTTCATATTCAACGCAGGCACCATCGTCCTTTTTGAGGCAAAAGAAGCAGATAATGGCTTCACTCTTAACTCCTCAAGCTGATCCCTGTTCATATAAAGCACCCCTTGTCCATCGGAATCGGTTAAAACCAAGCTAGCCAGCATCTTATGATCCGCAATTATAGGTTGAAGCAAATAATGTCTGGCTGATGCCGCGATTAACGAGCTGATCGTCCAAACAACCCTTAATTTCAAACCACCGTCGGTGTAAAACGTCTCTGGGATACTCCCATTGCCATCGCCGTATCCAACATTTGAACCATTGTTGATGCAAAATCCATCGTTCCCAAATTCCGATAACTGTGAATTCGCATTGTTAACTACAGAGGCAGCTCCGAGTATGACGCAATTATCAAGGGTTGACCCGAAATTAGCTCTCCATTTCAAAAGAACTCCGTCATCAATCCCTAGCTCACCGCCGGGTAATTCGATCCGGAGGAAACGAATCTCCTTGAAATTACGAAGATCCTGCGTAGGGGAATGATGGGTAACACCACCTTGGTCCATTTCCCAACCATCAAAAAAACCTCCACCGCCGGGAGCGACGGGTAACGTAGACGAATAAATGGAATTTAGGGTTTCGTTCAAAACGGACCGTGTAGGGCCGATGAACTGACCCAAAGCCTGAAGGGGCTTAACAATGCCGCCGAAGACGAGACGGAAGAGATTCGAGATAGGACCGACGAGGGCACGGGACTTGTCGGAGGAAGACGAAGAAGGGGAGCAATCGTCGTCGGAGATGACGCAATCGACACGGACGACGACGTTTTCGACTTGAGGAACTAGGGAATGAAAACGACGGGAAACAACACAGCAGCGTCCGAGAGCTTTGACGTCGCCGATGTTGTTGAAGATTAGGAGGAGGAGTGAGTCCGGGAGGCGGTCAAAGTGATCGACCGGGACGGGTTGATTGGGATCTGAATGAACCGGATACATGTTTACTTCGGTTCTGGGGAGGAAGACCGAGTTTCTGTGTACAAGAGAAAATTCAAGTGATCTGTTTGGGGACGGAGAAGAAATGATAGAGACAAATGATGGGTTAAGATAGATCCACGGTTTTTGTCTTTACATACACAAGAGAAAATAAAGGAAATGCGTATACAAAAAAATAGATATATACAAGGATTGGATTATGGAATAAATTTATACAAATTTATCAATTTACGAATAGAGTAACATATTCCAAATTAAAATAAACCCACGTAAATCCTTTTCTTCGAGTACATCAAGTATAGTCATCAAATCAATTACATGATCTAACTATGATCTAATAATTTTATTTTCCTTCTGATTATAATACGTATCTGTTGTTATAATTGTTAATAAAATTACTATACAATGAGATGTTAGTATTAACATAAATACATAATAAATTTATCTCGACTGATGTAATCATTATACTAAAAGATGCTCTCTAGAGTTAATATAATTTCTAGAGTATTTGTAAACCAAAATCTCATGGGGGCTGGATTTTTTTTATGTTAAAATTAGAAACAGTTCCTTACTTAATAAATGGATATGGAGGTACAGTGTGGAGAAGGATAGCTTATGGAGGAAGATTGTTGTAGCCATGATCAAGATGCAATCTTGCCAAAACCTGTTAACAATAGAACTTCTTCTTGGGTGTAGCGCAGTAATGTGAATCCTTCTGGGTCTTTGATGTCTGATTTTCTTGTTGAATTGAGGTGTGTTATGGGTAATGGAAACAATATAGATTTTTGGACTGATTTTTTTAACAGAAAAAATTTCTTTAAAAATTTCTTTTTCGAGAATATTCAGTCTAGCAGTTAAAAAATGCGGAAAGATCAAAGATTTCGATTGTTGGGTTCATGGTAGATGGGAATGGAGGATTAATATGACAAGAGCATGGTAGATGGGAATGGAGGATTAATATGACAAGAGCTTTCTTCGAATGGGAAAAACCTATGTGGAGCGAATTTAGGCTCGTATTAAGCATAGCGGTTAGTGTTAATCAAGGTCTTGACAGAGTAACATGGTCTGGATCGCTGGATGGTTTATACAATCCAAAAGCTTTATGTTCTAAAGTGGCTTGTGAAGGAAACTTGGAAAAGCCGTGTGAAGACTCGTTTGGTTTAAATTTGTTCCTCCAAAAGTTTATGCCTTTGTGTGGAAAGCAATGCTCCTTAGACTGCCTGTTATGGTAGAACTGGTAAAAAGGGGTGCAAATTGCATGATCAGGTTGCTGTTTGTTTTGCAATATTGAGCCGGAAGCGATAAATCATGCTCTTGTCATTGTATTGTAGTATGGAAAACTTGGTAACGATGGTGCTCTGTGTGGAATGTTAATTTAGTGTTTCCTAAGACTGTAAAACAATTGCTAGAGGTATGGTTTTCGCAAAGTGTTAGGAGGAAAGTGAGGGAGCTTTGGCGTATCGGTTTTTTGGTTTGATATGGGTAATCTGGATTTGTAGAAATAATAATAGATTTAACGGGGTTTCCTTTCGACTGAACATATATTTATAAAGCTTTGCTTTAGATAGGGATATGGACGCATTTCTTATGGCCGATGTTGGTTCTAGTGGTGTCCGACTTTGTTCGAAATCCGAAAGCTATCGTTCGTGGTGTAAGTTGATGGTTATCTCTGGTGTGGCGTATATGTTGCTGTTAGCTTCAGTGTTGGGTGGCCATTTCGGATACTGCTTCTGATTTGGTTAGTTTTCTGCTGCATGGTCAAGTTTCATTTTGCTTTGCTCGATTCTGTTTCTACGTTTATAGGTGGATGTTCTCTATGTTTGCGTTGGTTTTTAGCTGGATGTTTGGGGTCTGTTCTTTAATATGTTGTCCAATGGGACTGTATTTACTAGTCTGCTCTTGTTTGTTCCACTCCAGGGTACGCTCTTTTTCCTCCGAATAGGATTAGGGAGGTTTTTAATGAGGTCATTGGGGTGGTTATTTTGTAAATTCTCAAATATAAAGTACCATTTTTCAAAAAAAAATATAATTTCTAAAATGAAAATTAAACAACCGAAATTTAAAGTGAACAATAATACTATTATTAGTTTTAAATCAAAATTTCAAAAAATAACAAGAAATAGTGAAAATGTAGAGGAAAAATGAATTCCTAAAATAATTTGAGGGCACCGAAAGCTTTAGTATTTATAGGTTGAATTCTACGGCAGAAATCAAATAACAAAACTAACATTAAAATTACAATATGGTAGAAACAGTTATAAAGTGATAAAACTAGTCATTAAAATATCTATTTAGATAGAAAAAAGAAAGTGACAATAAATTAATTAGGGTAAATTATACGGGTGGTCCTTTATATTATTACTTTGTTTGATTTTGTTATATATTAAAAATCAGTTTTAGTCACTTATATTATCGGTTTGTTCGATTTTGGTCCATCGATATTTAACTCCTGTCAATTCATTAATGGATGTCTAACTTGGTAAATACAAAATAAATAAATAAAAACACCACCTGTTTCTTGAGTTATCCAACTGGTTTTGATAGTAGTTTTCACTCTTGATGACATGGGGTAATACTTTCCATCCTCCAAGCATCTAGTGTCACTCATGCCTTGTTTCTCACCATTGATGTAATCATTGTTGCCGTTGTAGTGGTTGTTGTTCTGGTTTTCCTTGGTGCTCCATTCTTTCTCAGTGAAGCTGGCCTCGCCCAAGTTTTGTTTCTCAGCGGCCATGTAGACGTTCTTCTTGTAGTAGTAATTGCTTCTGTTGTTGGAGCCGGATTCGGGAATGTCGTTGTAATAGTAATTTACTGCTTTGATATATTCAAGTATCAGCTTTTTCTTTAATAACATTTGAAGAAGAAGAAGAATCTTAAAACACCTTTTTATTTTTAATTGTCGACTTATATTAATAGGACAATAGGAATTAATATTTGATGGATTAAAATTGAACGAATCAATAACGTAAGAAACTAAAATTACTATTTTTCAAATCAATAATCAAAATCGAACATATTGGAAATATAAAAAACCACCCATATAACTTACCGAATTAATTATTGTACTATTGAGATATAAAATTATAACATTCTAAAAAGGATAAAAGAAAAGAGACGAAGTCTTATAATTTAATTATACTGGCCCAAAAACTCAGTGCATGTTCGTATATATAAAAGAAAATGGACCGTCTTGGAATTAATTACATTGATTAATGATAGTGAATTTTTTATTAGATTTATATATTAAATTAATATTTTATTTAAAATTTATTAATTATTTTAATATTTTATTTAAAAGTTAGAGATTAAATTAAAATTTAATATTTGTTATTAATGTATGATGTCATCACGTTAATCGTATTTAATTTCTCAATAATTAAAATGTTATATCCATGATACAAATGATTAAAAAGTTGATATAAGTGATCAAAAATATTATTTTTAAAATTTTAAATACATATTATTTTATAATCACTCTAAATTATATAAAAAATCAATAACAAAAATTAAACACATATAAAATAAAAATAATTATTTCAATAGTTGATGTCATAATTAATTACATTAACTATATAAGGTGATATAGATTGGTTGTAGTGACTTTATATTGGATTACATTAACGATAAATTAATAGTTAGTAAATTAAGTTTAAAAAAATTATCTTCTAATTTTTTATAATATATAATGTAATTAATTTATTAATAAATCATATACTAAGAATTATAAAACAATATATACATTTATACATAAAATGATAAACTTAATGTGGATGAAGTCAACTGAAAGTACATAGTAGCTTCACGACGAATGTACCGTGGCAATTTTGGTAAGTGAATGATTAATTTAATTATGTATGCCATGTGAAAAGTAAGGTTTGGTAAATTAAATATTAATTTTCCTTTTGTTCTAAAGTCGGTGAACCAAAAACAATTTTTTCCTGTTTGTCGTAAAATTCTGCTATGAATATTCTCTTCATTTACTAAAACACAATGATGTTTTGCATTTATATATTAAAAACGTACTAGATTAATTTGTTTTTAAAATGTATTGGTGATCTTCTAGGCTATAATTTATAGGTTAAATATATAGTTTGGTATATGGATTTCACTTTAAGCTTCAGTTTGATACTTAACATTTTTGGATCAATTAGGTATATGAATTTGGTTTTAATTTTCAATTTGATACATTAATTATTTTTCGGTTTAATTAAACACTTGGCCTTTAGATGCAAGTTTGAAAGAAAAATAATAATAAAGTTCCAGTATCTAAATGAACCAAAAAAATGTAAATGCCAAATCAAACCTAAGACTAAATTTAGATATATATCCCGAAAAAATTGTATAAATTTGAACATTGAACTAATTCATATGCCAAAACATATATTTATCTAATTATATCATACTTTGAGTTAATTGCATCACACATTCTTAAACTATAATATTCATTCTAAATTAGTCCTTAAAATTTTGAATATTTTAATTTCATCCTCAAACTATGAATCTCATTCTAAATTTATCCTTTGAGTATTCCAATCTCATTCTCAAACTATAACCCTCATTTTAAATCGGTGCCTAAACTTTTGAGTCTTCCAATTTCGTCCTCAAATTCATCATAATATGTAATTAATTTCAACCAAAATTTAACCTATTTTTTAATATAATAATAAAGATTCGCCTAACAATTTTATTAACATGAATGTGATTAGCATATACAGATAATTTTGGATGAAATTGAATGTTCAAAAGTTTTGAGATAAATTTAGAATGAGGATCATAATTTGCAAATGAAAATTGAACATTCAAAAGTTTGTAGATTAATTTAGAGCGAGTCATAATTTAGGGATACAATTAAATTATTTTAAAATTTAAAAACTAATTTAAAATAAAAAAAAATCATAATTTGAGTAGGTATGAGACAATTAATTGTAATACTTTCTAACGTCTTGCTTAATAATTTTTCACAAGAATTCCAATGTTTGTGTGGAAATTAGGATGGTAAGAAAATCTGAATTATTTAATAGGAAAAACCCAATAACCGTCAGATTTTGACCGTAAAGATACGAGCGTAGATTTT